ATCGTTTTGCACTAGAGCGCAAATTCTTCAACTGAAAAGCGACATGTCGTTTTATAAGCCAAAGGCAAAACAACATGTCGTTTTGGCAGGTTTCTGGGCATTGATTCAACAAAAAATGATGTGTCGTTTTCTATGCCAAATGAAGACGACATGTCGTTTTGGCACTGGCCTGTAATTTTCCTTAGCAGAAAAAGACATGTCGTTTTATATACCCAAAGGCAAAACGACATGTCATTTTTTCCATTGGCCTGCGCTTATCTTCCACAGAAATGACATGTTGTTTTATATACCAAAAGGCAAAACAAAATGTCATTTCAGTGTCCTGGGCTGCGCTTCATGTTCAACAAAAACACCATGTCATTTTATATACCAAAAGGCAAAACGACATATCATTTTCTTTTTGCACTGTTGAAGCTTCTTCAACCTTCAACTGGGTCGTTTCTGACCCGGTTTCAACCCGAAATGAAACTCGCCTTTTTCTTATGATTTTGACGACCAAAATTGATGTTTAAAACTCATAATTGATAGAAATTTGATTTCCCAAAGATTCCTAATCTCAGTTTCCATCAAAATTGTCTAAATCATATCTTTGAAATCAAAGTTTTCTACCGGCCTGTCAGAAAACTAAAAACGTGAGGAACAACAAGGCAGAGGCAAACTATGGCTCTAATACCAAATGTTGGGATTTATTAATGATCTAAACATGCTGCTAGCAAAGCTGGGTAGCAATTAGATCAAATGCAAAATTAAAGAAACAAATCAAAAATCACCTCCGGCCATTGATGTTCTCGGTGGGTAAAAGGAAAAACTCGGTTTCAGTTCTTCTAACCTCACTCAATCTCTCGTTGATGGTGTATATGTTTTCTGAATAGAGATTGCAGGCTTAGGGACCTAAAGCAACGTGCTATATCCCTTTTTATAGACTCTGCCCATCACAAAGTCCTTTTTGGACGTTCACTGAAGTGGGCAACGGTGGATAACTGAAGATGAATCTGGCTAATCACGTTCCTTTAATGGTGGAATAGGATGGACCACATTCTAATGATCAAGGTCTCGGTTGGTTACCGAGATTTAAGGGAAAAATCCAACACGCCAAACAAAAATCTTCACATTTTCGATCGACTTTCCCCTCCAGCGAGTCGCCATGAGTTTTTGCCTGCATTGCCCTGAAGTAACCTGATTTAACAGTGTATCTACCGTTGTTGTCATAATGCCACATGAGGAGATCATCATTTCTATGCATCCTGATTGGAATATCCAGTATGATCTCAGCATCAATAGGAGAAAAGTGATGCTTAACAAATTTAACCATACTCCTCTAAAGGAAGAAGAAGCTCGGAAACCAGCCAGTCCCTGCAATCATCATTAGGACTTGTGATAGGCCAGAAATATACTGGATGAGGAATCCAAGGGTCTTCAAAAATGCACGCGAATTGAGCAGCCATCACCAACTCTCCACCGCACTTCTAATTGTAGCAAGTCTCGTCCCCAAACAAAACTGCGCCATTAGTAAGATGCATTATGTCTTGCACTAGCTTGTAAAAAAGAAGAGTTAGGAAAATAACACGCTTTGAGCACCTTTGCCACCAACGAATCAGGATTCGCAAGGATACGCTAGCATTGCTTAGCTAACATCGCCTGATTGAAAACAGCTAAATCTCTAAAGCCAAACCACCCTCTGACTTTTGGAAAGGCCAAATAACGCTCATGAGGCACACGCTGAATCACATCCCTTTTATCTTCAGTGACATTGGGACTAAAAGTAAAGGATGACTTTTGGAAATTTATACTTTGTCCCGACGCCATTTCATAGGTATGCAAAATCTCCTTAACTTTCAAGTATTCTTCTACCTCTGCCTTACAAAAAATTAGACTATTATCCGAAAAAAGAGATGACTTACTCATGGGCCAAGTCGCGAGCAAGATAAACCCGTCATACTTTTATCACACACCGCCCCATTAATTAAAGCGAAAAGGCCTTCAGCACAAAGAATGAATTGTGTCTCGACAACTCAAAAGACAATGGCCGCGGTTAGAATTGATCCCGTTTTTATTTTTCATGTTTTGCAAGAAAAAAATGAAAACGTTTTTAAAACGGCGTTTGCCACAATAAAGAAAAAAAACAGAAATTAAAATGATTTTTTAGTTTAGTGTAAAATGAGAGAGAAATAAAAAACGACGTTTAGTCATTTTTATTTTTTATTTTTGTTTTCTCCTCACGAGAGCAGAGGTAGATATATAGAGACATTAATGAGTTTTTTTATAATGAAAATAATCTCTTGATAAAACTACCCAACGCATTTTCAAAAATGATTTCTGTCTGAGATTGAAAACGTTTTCATTTTCATTTTCATGCAAAATAAAATTATTTTATAATGAGTTCTAAACGCACTCAATAATTTATATTATCATTATTATTATTATTTATTATTATTATTATTAAGCAACCGTGTCACACACTACATAATATACATACATTTTCACCAAAAATCATTTTTTCAATTCTTATTTCCCAAAAAAGAAATTTCAAGCCCTAAAAAATCAAAAAAAATCAAAAATCAATTTAGTATCCACTGTTATATGAAAACATCTCAAAATTGTATCATTATTTTAAAAAAGTAATTTATCTTCCTAATAATATTAAATAAATAGGTACTTTTCAAGTTTTAAAAAACCTCTCGGGAGCACCCTATGACTGGAGATACAAGAACGGGCCGGCCCGGCCTGGCCCATTCTCCTAGGCCCATGGGACAGCGGGCTGGGCCGGCTCAGCCCACAAATTTTTTGGGCCGGGTCGGACCGACCCGAATAAGAATGACCTCGGCCCAACCCACACCACGGGTTAATTTTACGTGGGCCAGGCTGGACCATACCGCGGGTTAGGATGGGCCATGCCATGGGCCTTGAATGGGCCGGCCCACTTAAGGCCCATCTAAGCATGCAATTTTTAATTTTTTAATTTTAATTTTAATTTTTGAATTTTTAAATAAGTTAACAAATATATATGTTTGAATAATCAATGGAAATATAAAAAATGATATTTTATTTACGATTACCTCATTAAATAAAAATCTTTCGAAGGAAAACCCAATGGGGCATAATCTTGGTAAAAAAAAAGAGTATAATAAGGATAATTATACATAAGATGTTTACAAAATTACTAAAAAGAAAGAAAAAAAAAACATAAAAATATTATAGGCCTAGATGGGTTGGGCTGGTTCGGGCCATTATGGACCTAGACGGGTCGGGCGAGGCCGGCCCATCATGGACCTAGACGGGCCGGCCAGCCCGGGCCAAGCCCAGTCTGGCCCATGATTTTTCATGGGTCGTGCCGGGCCGGCCCATGGGCTAATATATGTTGGCCCAGCCCAGCCCACCAATATTTATAGACTGGGCCGTACCTTGAACAGTGACGGGCCGTGCCGGCCCGGCCCATCACTGTGTCAAGATGGACCTAGACCGGCCCACGGGCCCCGGCCCATTGTTGCATCTCTACCTATGACCCTTTTCGAACATAGAATATCGTTTCTACTTTTTTATTTAATTAATTTTTTTTTAAGAAAATAGAATATCTTAAAACATATAAAAATTAAAAAAGATCCTCAAAGTTTTTATATTGCTGAAATATGAATTTCAAAAGAAATGTTTCTGAAATATTTTTGTTAACATTTTAGATTTTTTAATTTCTAATTAATTAATTAAAAATAAATGACTCAAGAAAGGACTTCAGAATACTCGAGGACTATATGTTGTCCTCATTTTCCTACCTCTCATGTCATTTAAATTAAACAATCTAATCATATGAATAAAAACCTAATACAAAAATTTACCAATTCATGAGGTGCCAAATTTTAATTGAAATGACAGTTAAGAAGACATAAAAATAAGATATCAATTCTTGATTCAGAATAGTCCGAATGCATTTGCTAAAACTCAAAAGTACATATTTATTATTATTAAAAATAAAATAATTTACTTTCAAAATGTTTCAATATATGCCTAAAATTGTTTCATCCCTTACAAAAAAAAGATAACACTTCTCAACAAATAAAGATGAAAATATAAAATTATCATTTTCCCTCTCTCTAACAAGATGAGAGACTTCAAACTTGAAAGATAAAGAAAGCCACTCGCTAATTGAAGAATTCAACTTGAAAAACAAAGGCTCGATTAATTATACGGGAAAAAAAGTTATTGGTTTCCTTCACAAGATGGGAAATTCAACCTGGAGATAAGACCTTCCTTGTTTTGTGGATTTGGGTTGGTTTAAACCATAGATTTAGTTCAATTCCAAGATAATATTGGGATTGCCAAAACAACATTTAGATATGCAAATTCGAAAGTCAAAATCTCAAATACAACCTCTCACCCTTTTGCTTTGCTAAATGTATGTTTAAACTGCCTTTTTTAAACCATGTTGTAAACCGTTTATTTCGCTGATTCGAGTTTATAATTCGAATTTTGCTACAGTAAAAAACTCTCACAAACAATCACATCTAACTTTTTTACTAGAATAAAAAGCTCTCACATAAAATCACATCTCAACTCGAATTAAAAACTCGAATCAACGAACTAAACGACTCTTAAAGATGTTAAAAATGAAAAATGTTCCAACCATCCACTTTTGAACCAGCGAACCAGATAAACAATAATGACAGCAAATCAACTTTTTTTTTTTCTTTCTTTTTTTAAATGGAGTTATCTAATTACCGGGAGTCCCCGATCAATATCAATATTTTTTTCAAAACTTCCAAAAAAAAAAAAAAAAAAAAAAAGGGGATAATCTCAACCTACTTTTACATCAATAACCGCGTCTCAATGGATAATGGAACAAGAAAAAGTCGATCCAAAAAAAAAAAACTCAACCTCGCATTTACTTTTTAAAAAATTTGGCAAATAATTACTCATGCAATTTACAAGTTTAGAGAGAACTTTTAAGCAAATTTAACTAATTAAATGAGACACATTAGAGACATTACAATAAATTTACAAATTCGGGAGGACTTGCTTTGCTAAACCAGTTTAATAGGTGTGGTATTTGCTAAACCACGACATTTGGGATAATTGTGCCAAAAACGCTAATGAATTTGTTATACCTCATCAACTCGGGTCTGAAGCCAGACCCCACACAAACTGAAATCTTTATTGAAAGCCCTCCTTAGGCCCCTCAAGTGAAATATTAAAACGCACAGGGGTGAACTACGGTGAAAATAACAACAGAAAAACAAAGCAAGACTGAACAAAAGAGGAAAAAACTGATTATTTCCATGGCTTGGACTAACCATGGGCGCTAGTCTGGAATCGCGCTTTCTCCTTCTCCTTCACTTCACTGCCTTGCGTCTTGTCATACTCTTTCACAAAGCAAATTTTCAAGCCCCAAAATTGAAATTTCATCAAGTTAGAGCCATACAAAATGAACACGAATCTAATCAAAAATTGAAAAGAAAAAAAAAAAAAAAACTTCATTCAAATCATCAAATGAAAACTTTAGGCTGTGTGTGTGTGTTTTTAGCGTACTTCAGGCTTTATTCAACAGGGTGAAAGAAAGTAGAAAGGTTTAATAAATAATTAAGCAAATAACATGACAAAATAGAAAGGAGAAAACCCACACCGACCCTTTAATTACTCCTTTAGGAAAGAGTATATGTTTAATGTTATTGTTATTAAGATTTAATTTATAATCTCTCATTATTTCTTTCTTCTTCCTCCTAAAAAAAAACAATGAATTCAAAATCATTTCCCTAAATTCCCTCACCCCACCCCTTCTCCCAAACAAGCTCTTAAATATAAGCTCATATGAAGTAGGCGGGTCTAAAAACAGATGCCAAATATGGTCTTCCATAATACAAATTTCTTTTAAAAAAAAAATAATAATACAAATTTCTCCACATATATATATATATATATATATATATATTCAGAGAATTTCTCATGCCATATAGTATTAGATAAAAGGAAAGCCTTTTCCATACCAGGGTGGTTCTCATGAATAGATGACCGATCCTTCTCATCCTTGGGAACGGACTGGTTCCCTCCATAGATTCCTCCAAATCCTTCTTCATCGGACCTCGTCGCATACCCTTCCCCAAAAGAATGGGACATCACGTCTCTAATAGTACCCCCCAAATCCAATTTCAAAAAACCAATCAGAATTAACTCACAAAAAAATATCGCTTCAAAATCAAAAAATTAAAAACCCAAAAAAAAAAAAAAGTGCACATCTTATTATTATTACTCACCCAGTTTTTTCATTAGGATTGTCTTCCTTTCCCTTGTCCATGTTATGTGTCGTTTCTGGTTCCCTAGAAGAAGAGCCAGTAGTAACTTGCTTGAACCTGACCAAGGAAGCTTTGTGGCCAAAGTTTAATGGCAGAGGCTGTGAAATCAAACAAGGTGAATGACTTCGAACTGATGATCTGAGAGTGTGAATCATGTTTCGCTTTCTTATATCTTCTGGAGTTCAATATTTATAACCATTTTGCAAGTAAATGAGCCAATATATCGATGCTGATATAGTGATATTTCTAAGTTGGTCCGATTTGATTAGCACAAAAAAAGTTGGTCTGATTTTTGGTTGTGACACGTAGTAATTGCAAGTAACGTGTCCTTTTTTTTTGGGTTACAACTTTTGCCTTTAGTTCCTTCGTGTCATGATTGAAACCTTTCCAGAAAAGCTGATTAACATCTGCCCTCACCACTTTATACTTGGGAGCTATCTTCCTTTCTTTTCTTTTTATTTTTTATTTTTTATTTTTATTTTGCTTTATTTTAATAATTTAATAATTTTCTGTCGGATGAGGACTCATTTATTTGATGTATTTAAATTTATGATTTTAATTTTATTACAATATTTTTTTTAATAAAAAATTTAAATTTTAAAATTAAAATTAAGAATTATTAATTTAAATGCATAAATTGAACGGCCCTGCAAAACTATAAGAGGCTCGAGAGCTGTGCGATAATTGCAGAATTCCTTTTTTTTTTAAAAAAAGAGGAAATTTCAGTTAATAATTAAGTCTATAAAGACTCTAAAATAGTAGCAAATGACCTTTAAATATAAGAGTATTCAGCTACAGACAAAAACTAAATCTACCAATAATGATGAATGAGAGTGTCAAGTTCTAATGGGGAAGACTGGTTGACACATTAATAATCGAGTGCAACAAATCTCGTTTAATAAAACCATAACAGTTGATTGATAAAATCAGCCAACCGAGATCTAAAGACCCAGAACACTAAGATCACTCACCAATATAAAAGAGTGGGATGACAATTCTGTTATTACATGATGAAAACATAAAAATTGAAACGACATAATTAATATCGTCTTTATTACATTAAATAAGATAAATATCATGTCACGTTAATTAAAAAATCATGATATGACGCAAAATAAGATAAAAAATAGGGACATATGAGCTCAATTGTATAAATTATACTTTGATCTAGTAATTTCTTATATCTTGGGTTATGTCCATGCCAGCTTGGGAACTCAATGAAGGGTTGGCCGAGGTAGGTCAACTAGCATGTTAACACATATTTTATATAAGACCAGTTAAAAACGCTCTCTTTGCGTGACTCATTTAAAATAACAGTTATATAAATCGTCAGAAAAAAAGAGAAAGAAAAAAGAAAAGATAGAAGGATAGTAATAATTAATATATTATCAATATTGGCCACACTAATAATTAAATTACATACATAATAAATATTGAAAAATAGAGAAAGGGTCAAAATGAATAAATAAAAAAAGTTTTAGAACAAAAAGAATAAAAGTAAAATTTCCGGACAAAAATATAAAATAGTAAAAGAAATAACTACGGCCCCGTTCACTTCACCGATTCGAGTTTAGAATTCGAGTTTTGCTACAGTAAAAAGTTCTCAGAAACAGTCACATCTAACTTTTTTGCTACAGTAAAAAGCTCTCACATAAAGTCACATCTCAACTCGAATTAAAAACTCGAATCAGTGAACTAAACGGGTCATAAATTAAAGAAATAAACAAATTTTAAGGTAAAGACGAAAAATAAGATTAGGAAAAAAGGAGAGGGTAAAAACTACGGGACAAAAGTTACAAAAGTAAAAAAAAAAAAAAAAAAAAAAAAAAAAAAAAAAAAAAAAAAGACAAATAACTTAACCAAATTTTGAATAGTGTTTTTGTGTTTAGATGAATAGTAAATGCACTCACTTTTCTCTCTTTTCTATTATAGTTAATAGATTTTGTGTTTCATTGTTAGGTACATGTATTACTATTGTTACTTTTGATTATTGTGGTGGATCAATTTTATAAATGCTTTCGAATTATGTATTTTTTTCAAAATGTCTTCCTGATATTTCAAAACCGTTCAAACATCTTATGATCTATAGAAAATAGATCAAGTTGCACCATCCATTTACTTTCGTTTATAAAACTAGCGGTTTAACTGACGTGACACACCATTAAATATTAGATTAATTTTTATAAATGCCCTCTAAACTATGTACCATTAATAATGTGTCACGTCAGCAAAAACGTTAGTTTTATAGACAAAAGTGGACGCAGGGGCATTTTGATCTGTTTTTTTATAGATAAGATGGTGTTTTTAACTATTTTAAAAGATCAGGATACATTTTAAAAAATAGTATATAGTTTGGGAGGTATTTATAAAATTAATCCTATTGTGGTCTGTCTATTTTCTTTTTTTAGATGTTATTATTTTTTGTAGAATTGATATTTTAACATATGTTTATGTCTCTAACATTTTTAGGTTTCTTTTAATGTACTTTTTTTTCTCTTCTATTAATTCTTGGAGTTATCTAGAGGATTACTTGCAGTAGTCTAATAGATTACTCCTATTGCTGACATGATGCCCGAGACAGGTGTTTTATGTTGAGTTCGTGACATAATTTGGTAGATTTCAAGGTGTAATCTTGTAAATTACTCTTGCGATCAACAAAGTCAACACGTGATATGTGTTGATTCTGGATTAATCTGGTTAATTATTGTTTATAATCTACTGAGCAACACTGAAGATAAATAGTAATGTATTTTAAAAAGGCTACATAATTATCTAAGATCTCTTGGTCTAGTGATACTGGAGGGTTGAGTAGGGTGAGGTTTGAGTGAGGGGTTGCGGGTTCAATCTCGTGTTGTTTAATAAAAAAAAAAGGCCACATAATTTAGTAAATTACCTATGTTGATCTAGTAGATACCTCCTGCAGTTGATGCTAAGACGACCATTACTGTGTGTTGAAAATACTATATAATCTTGTAAATTATTTATGTCAAATCTATTATGTTAATCCAGCGACTAACACGGACTGTCCTCGATGGTCACTATTATTTTCGAATACATCTAGTAGATTCTCAGTGATAATCTAGTAGACTATGCATTGGTATCAATGGAGGTAATTTTGATAAAACATTTGACCTTTTACTGTTCTTATTGTGTTGCAGACTTCGAACCCTTGTTATTAAAGTGACATAATTTTTAGCATGCCTTATCCTAGTGGCATTCTTGGCATTCATAAAGACCTAAAAAAATGGGAGTAACAATAGTGTAAGAAATAATTCTGCAAGTCGATCCCATTTAAACTTCATATTTAAGATATGCCTCTGGTTTAATATTATTATCAATCTGTCATTTTATAATTATTGAGATAAAATTATTCAGAATAAACCCTTTTTATCTGGTGGTAATGAAATTTTATAACTGATTTTAAGAGGGAAAAATAAGTGATAATTACACCACATGGTAAAATTTAATATCTTAATTTGAAATTTAACAAAATTTTCAGAAAGTTATAAATATAACAAAAAATGACATGATCATTATCATAAAGATGTTACATTTTGTACTGTATAATAATACAGTCATTGTTCTAATGATATTATAATTTTGATATTTTTGTAATATTTTTAAAATTTTTAAAGCGCCGAAACAATAAAAAAAACACTCAAATGTGATAATTTAAGGGAGAAAGAGAGAAATAGGAGTAAGACTTGAGATGAATTAAAATTAATAGGTCAATAGTTTACATAAGTTAATAAATAGACCAAATTACTGTTTTTGTCTATAACTTGTCTGGTTATGAACCATAACTTGACAAGTTATTATCCATAAATCACGGTTTTTGTCCATAACTTGTCTGGCTATGAATCATAAATTAACAAATTTATCTATAATTTATCTAATTATGAATCATAACTTGATAAGTTATGACTTATTAATTTCTATAACTAAAAGTTGACCTATATACTTCCTCAAGCTTTTTCTACTATTTTTTAATGGTAGCCTTTTCCAGGAAAGCCCAATAGATATCTATTAGGTCGTGTTCAAGCCCAAAATATTAGTTTAGACCCAGAGTAGTCACTATACCCACCAAGCCCAATGGCAGTGTGGCTGTATTGGCACGGCAAGCGAACTAGAATTCATTATCCTCTACGAACGCAATCAGCGTAGTTGGTAATGATTATGAGACGTCACTTTATTAACCAAAACATAAACAATGTCCCCAGAAGGTGGGACCAGCCGACCGTTGCAGCTTGTTGTATGACGTCATCAATCCCCTTCCGTCTACTCGGGCTTTCTGAACCAGATCTATCCCGTCAAAAACCTCGTCAGTCTTGGTCTCACAAAACTCGATTTGCGGGGGAAAAAAAAATCTTATCGGGTATGGTTAGTTTTTAACTCTTAAATTTAAGAGTTATTTTCTTTTTTGATAATTTAAGTTGAGAATTTAATTAAGAGCCCGTTTAGTTCATGAATTATAATTATGAGATTATAATTATTTTTAATTTATGTGTATTTTTTGTGAGAAAAAATATTGCAACGAATCATGAACCATGATTCGAATTAGAGAACGAATCCTCTAACCAAACGGGCTCTAAGTGTTTAGTATAAGGATTCGTGTTATAGTTTGAATCATAATTCGTGACTTGTTATAGTATTTTTTTTTATAAAAAAATACACATAAACTGAGAATAATTTTAAATTATAATTCTAAAATTATAAACTAAACGTCCACTTATACATTTAAAAAAATATTATAGTATAAAAATTAATGTTAAATTTTTATAAAAAAAAGACTGCATCAATAAAATTTGAGTCGTAATTTAAATTGTAAAAATATTAAAAAAATTATGCTAAATAAATATATAAATTTAATCGGTAATAAATAAAAAATTTCTAGCAATTTAATTTTTTTTACTAGAAAACTAAAAAAAAATAATAATAATAATTCTGGCCAAACGCCAAAAACCTCCTGCAAAGACATTGCACGGCTGTGACGTTATTGTCAACAATTTCACACGCACCGTCTCCTCTTCTGCTAAATTGTTTTGTATACGGACACGGGACACCGACTCTTCTCTGCCTAGCTTCTGTTTTTGGCTCCTTTTTTCCTTTTTCTCTTTTTAATTTTTCGGGGAGCAGAACGTCAAATGATTTCACCGGAACCGTCCGTACACGCCATAAAGAAAAACAAGAAAGGAAGGA